TTTGGACATAATACTTGGCTCACATACTGTTTTTCGCTTACTATATAGTATGGAAGGAGGCATATTCAAACTCAGGAAATTACTTCTTTAAATGAGTTAAAGGAGACGGATCATTTTCTATTAAAGGTCAGTGAGGTATTTCTTCATAAAATGGCCAGGAGCACATTAGACAATAATTAAAGGCCTTTATTTCTGTGGATAAAGGGCCCGTACTCCTACAGTGAAGCAGCTGACAGTCATGTTAATGGTTATTATTGAAGATGAGCTGATTAACTATCATTTGGGAGAAGTCATGATTGAAAGTGTGCTTTTGTACACTTACTGTGATCACAGTTGGCTACAGCAAAGCCTTCAACAAAATCCAGATTAGTGCTAGTTCTGTTCAAGACATCAATGATGCAGATCTAAACCCTCACACTGTCTCGATCGTTTCCCCAAAAGAACAATTCTGGCAAGGTTTTCTGAATACCTCCTAAATTCCCTCATCCTTATCAGATGTACATGTCCTATTTCAAGAACATTTAAAGTAATACATTTATGTCCCTATTTAAAGGAATAGGTCACCTTGGATTGAAAATGCTGCCATGGTTTCCTCAGCCAACCAAATTACTTTCTTTTTGCATGAAAGCTGGAAAATGTTAGTCCTTGGGAAGGAGAGTCCAGTTAAACTCAACTCAGTTCAAAATATATGTTTTTTTGTTTTGTTTTTAAGTTTCACAGCAGAAAGTGAGTCGTTCAGGTTGGAACGACATGAGGGAGAGTAAATGATGACATACCGGTAATCTTCCTTTTTGGGTCTAAGAGGGTGATCTTCGCCAGAATCAGCTGGGTCTATATTACATGGAGAAAGCTATTTGTTAGCGCTTTCATTCATCTCGATCAGGTCAAAGCCATAGTGACTGTTCTGGTCTCTGTGACATCCAAGGCAGCACACAGCGTCCATTTCACACTTTTAGGACCCTTTCAAAAAAAGATATTGTCAGAATGTCCAGCTTATTTTCAATAAGGAAGCCAACAGAGCCATGCTAACAAGCTAAATCTTTACCCCTTGGCCAGATACAATATATTTATCCTTATATTCAAATGACACATTCTGTGCCTAATAGCCCAAATCAGAATGCTATGCCTCATCTTCATTGTAGGATAATACACATCTTCCCAGATGACAAAATATTCCGTGTTTGTCTAATATCATTTGATGTGTCTACATGTTAAACATAACCTGCATCAGCACAGCTAACACTTTCAATTCCTTAACTCAAAAATACACAGAATGTATAGAGAAGAGACATTTATTGTAAATAAGTTTTGTGATGTGAATGGTACAACAGTGCTTAAACTTTCAACTTCCACATAGAAATGTTACACAGAATACGTCGTTTGAAAAATGTACCTTAGTGTATTTAATGTGATCCACGGGCAGTATGTGACAAAGTTGTCTCTGTTTCCCAGATGCTTTGTGCATCGCCAATAAAGAGAACATTGAACAGTATTATGATGGACTGAATACTATATTGATACATTTTTAAATAAACCTGGATCACAAAATAACCCTTCAATAAATGACACTCAGGTTTCTCAGAGTAATTTGAGCTTGTGCAGGTATTAGTTTGGCGGGTATCATTTTAACCCTCAATGCTTCATCTATGTGATTCACAATATAAACCACTGAACTGGACAACTTGGTCTGATCAGCAACTGCTATGCTACTACTTACAAATATAAAGTTATTGTGTAACTATTCCGGCGTTATGTGAAGAATATGCCAATATCATATCATAAAAGATTAGTATTCCATTGGCATAGCTATTCCCAGAATAAATAACAAATAGTTAAATTAATAAAACAGTGGGTTTCTACTTGTCAAAACTATTTGAGGTATTACTTTTAATCGCATCTGTGTGCTTAAAATGAACCAGTTACAGATACAAATACACAAACTAACATCAATATCAACTGCAGTGGGAGTTTTTTAGACATTAAATAAAGGGCAAAATCATTTTATAACATCTGCCTGTACATTTCAATGTGTTTTCAGTGAGGGTTCACTCAACATCTAACCTTCATGATCACAGCATTAAAGTTGTTCTGCTAAGATTCAGCCCTTTTTGTTATGTATAATGTACAGATGACTGTTCAAGACTGCATCTGTTATGTACTAGTTCATCATGTCTCTATCTAAAATGACCTTGTGCTGATGGCAAATGATAAAAACATCTAGGACAGGTGTTCTTTCTATGCATTCATCTGAAGCCAACCCCAATCCTCTATAAAACTGATTAAAGGAAACAAATGTATGAATTGAAACATAAAAATGAGACCTAGTGTCTGTTAACGAACAGCAAGGCACAATGAGAGGTGGAAACAGCAATCAGTGATTAGACTACCCCCTATGTAGTCTCAAAGTAACATGCGGTTTCATACATTTCAATATGCTGAAAGCTGAATTCACTAAACAGTTGAGGCAGACTTTTCAACTACATGTCAACTTACTCTACTACCCTGACCCCTAACATTTAACCAACCTAACACCCTACTAATACTCTAATGAGAGTTAGTTGACATCTAGTTGCAAAGTTACTTATTTCTAAAGTGGATCATCGAAATAAAGTGTTACCGTCTGCTGTATATTGTGCAAATTGTGTTTACCACTAGTATCTTGGTCATATATTAGGATAACTCCTAAACTTGGGTGCTAAAACAATGCTAATTGATTAATCAGCGGGTGCAATAAATTCTTAGTAAATTATCTCCCGACTGCCATCCTCGATTATTTCACACATATCTGATTTCTATATCCCGATTTCATATGTTAGATTGTGCAGAATCCAGCTGTGAAGGTCTTTTTAGCAACACGGCGGATCTTGACATTATCTGTGCTAATCCATTTCTGTAGTGTTCAGAGATTTCAATGGAAAAGATATTCACTACGTGAATTAATTCCAAGAAATGTTGAGTGATCCTGTAGTGCGATCTGAGTCATGAGGTGACCTGCAGTGAAACACTCAGGTTTAATAGATGTTGAGTGGACTCAGAGACTGACAGACCAGCGGCAATTACGGGAGTATTCTTAAGTACTGGTTTGTCACAAGCTGTTTGGCAGTGACGCACATAGACAGTATTCAATGGTGTGAAGAAGAAAATCGGTTAAACTGGAGGAAGGGCTTGTATTATTTGCTGGAGTGTTTTTCTTTTAGAGGGAATTCTCAGGAAAGCAGAGGCCAAAATTGGACATAATACTGACCATTGCTACAATTTTTATTTCTCCTCCTAAATAATCAGCCCAAAATTTACATACCATTTACATTTACATGGAATCAAACTCTATTATCTGCGGATGTTACAATGTTTTATGTGGCTTGGGTGGTCGCACTAGATTTAAGAATTATTTTAGACCTGCGATGCACATGGGCAAAAGGATATTACGCAACACTCCAGGGCTTCTGTTTTGAATCAATTAAAAAAGAATATATTTATTTTTAACATTTCAAACTGTTAATTTAAAATTTAAATTGTGTTATTTAACGCTGACTTGCTGCTGCAGTGCTCCAATATTGTACAAATGATTCATTAATTGGTGTTATGCTTTGATGATATTTAAATGTGCTGTAAAATACTTTTTTTTAATATCACACATACAGAGTTGCTATTAGCTGACAGATAACACAATGTAGCATGTTAATATGACATTTTCTGTATTGATATTTTTACAGGTGTTTTAACTGTATTTTCAATTACGCATTACATTGTGCTGTGCTTTAAGGTAGAAGGAAATGTCTGTAAATGTTACAGAAAAGGTACTGGCAATTTTCTGAGAACATTTTTCATACAGTGTAGACTCTGTAAACAAATGTAACTGACTGTTAATCGAATTAACTCTTTAATAGCATTAAGAGAAATTAACCCCAATTTTGTTAACCCCATGTGTTGTTAACTTTGATAGCCGTAATAATAATACATTAAAAATTCAAGTCCTGTGTCCATAGCTTAACTTAAAGTTGAATTTAGATCCTCTAATGGTCAAACATCACTATACGAATTTGCAGGCTAGAAAGAGTTCACCAAACTTAAAAACAGCATAACGCGAACACAAAATCTAGTGTTACCACCCCTTAAGTTTACTACTTAGGCCTACTGTAAATACTGAGAATGAGTTTTCTACTTGCGAAATTAGAGAGCGTGACACTGCAGAAAGCTGTACTACTAGATATGTAAATGTCTTTTTATTTTCAGCATGAGTTAGCCTGCTAATTTTCCAGCTCGATTAGGGTAAGAGTAAATGACGTAGGTCAACAACATTGTAAGTGCACTGAGATAAAGCCACTTGTTTCAGAGCAATTAAAGTTTATGTGACCCACTTTATTCACAACCAGATACAGGGTACTTGGGATCATTTGGATGTAGGTGACAAAACACTAAGTTTTCGAAATTGAATGCAGCCTTTTGCCCTTATGCTAATTGAAATGGTTCACATTATGATGCTAAAAACAAAAGAAACTACTGAATCGGTTTTCAATAGCAAAACTGGGAATCCAACAATGGCAGTGTTTTGACAATCTTGTTCGGTATCATAATTAACCATTCATTTTTATCATATCTAACATTGAAAGATAATGAATGTCTATCATTAACCCTACAACACTTCCTTTTTCTACAGTCTACAGTTGCACTAAAATATTGGTTAGTACAGTGTGTGAACAGATCAGAGGAAAAATGGCGTAACAGAAAGGAGAAATACACTGACATTCAACATTTTCTACTGAAATATGACAGCCGTAAACAAGAGATTTGTTTATATTTTATGCATCTTTGTTTTTGAAGAAACACCATGTGCTTATATAATGAGTTCTTCTGTTGGAAAGGCACAAGCCCAGTGTTTTGTCAGGATATAGCGTGTTGCATTGCTACAGGATGCTTTTGGTGCACACGCTCTGGAAAGTCTCGATAGTTGAGATGAGAAGAACTAGAGACACGATTGTCCTCACATCGACAAGACCGATGTTCTGTGATTATCCGAGGAAGCTTATGACGTTATACTTCCTTGGTAACGTTCTGTTATGTACAAGATTCTGAGAAAAAAAAAAATATGTGTGTTGAGGACTATCTCACAAGCTTTCAAGTTGTTGGGAGTCATGACGGGGGTCCCATCTAGAACGTTTGATTGCATTGATTGTTTCGTGTTTGAACATGTCCTCATCATATTGACGGATGGCCTTGTAACAAACTCATCACTACAAGGCAGATTATCCATTTGCATTGTGACGGAATGGACACAGAAAGAGTTCATTTGAGTAATGTTACGCTTTCCCTTTCAAATGAGGCTGAAGTCCAATGCATGCCTTTTCCATGCACAACCGCTCAAAGACAAACAGCACACATACAGCCATGCAGATCTCAAGCCAGACCGTTCGGTCAATCCTTCCAGCAGGACGGGCTCCTAATCCACACTTCTTCCCCGGTCAGGCTTCCTTTGTTATCCTCGTTCCACGCATCCACTCAAGACCTGGGCTCGATAAGCCCGCTGTTGCGGCCCCGTTCACACGGTCACCTCAGTCTTGCTGTTGGTGACAAAGTACGGATGTGGAGGCAGGTAGTGCTGGCTCTGGGCGGACGTCAACTCGTTCACTTGCTCCACGGTGGCGCTGTGCCTCTTGGGGCCGTACGTCTGCCGGCGGCCCAGCGTTTCTGTCCCCTCCCAGCTCTTCAGCATGCCGGGGTTGGCGATAGTGTTCGAGCCAAAAGCCAGCGGGTGGGAACTGTGGACCTTGGTGCTTTTGGACTTGTGTCCGTTCTGCTTTTGGCAGGGCAGCTCTGGGCTGTAAGGGTTGGTGGGCTCCTGCTCCAGACTCACCGAGTGCATGGGAAGAGCGCCTTTCGCTGCCAGGTCGGCTAAGTGCCGTCTGTTAGTGTAGAAGTTTTCATTCGCTTTTTCAGCTGGAAAAGAGAGATAGAAAGAGCAAAAGCGAGGAAAATTCAACACTTCATTAGTCAGATGCAAAAAACAACAACAACCTGATTGCTGATTTGCTCCCCACCAGAGAATTACACATTTAATAGATCAAGGGTAATCACTTGTTTTTCCCAATATGAGCCATTTTTCTCAGAAAATACTTGACCCGATCGTTTTCCTTCTACAAACAACAAATACAACTGGATGTTTTTGTAGAGGTATAGTGACATTCTGCCATTATTTACTCACCTCCATGTCAATCTGAACCTGTTTTTTTCCCCCTCATTTTTTTGAAGAGCTTCACACATACAACATTTGAAAATAACCAAACATGTACACATACACTCAAAGGTTTGGGGTCAGTATGAATTAAACAAATAGTAATAATACTTTTATACATTTATTTAGAATACTGACTTTTTTTAATCATTTTGTGTGTATCAATATACAATATATATTTTTTTATTTGTTTTATTTTTACTACTGGAAAAATTCAGCTCTGCCATCACAGAAATATAAATATATATTGAACTAATTTAAACTGTAATAATATTTCACAATATTAGAGTATTAGTTTTAATGTGTTTTTGATCAAATAAATGCAGCCTTGGTGAGCAGAGGAGACAACATTTGAACAGTAGTGTACATTTTGGTTTTATCATCATACAAACCTATCATATGGCAGCAGAAGACGAGAAAATAGAGCATAAGTTTTATGTTTTTGGAATGACGAGAACGTGAGTAAATAGTGTCAAATTATTTTTGCACTATTAAAAACTTGGATTTGTTTACAAAAATAACTTGTAAAATGCAAATATCCAAGACTGCCTCAAATATTTATAAGAGCAGTTAATGTTCCATTGTGAATGGCAACCAAAATAGTTAGTCTGCAACATGTGAATGCTTTTCTTTTCGCTTAAGGTTTATATTTGTTACAAGTTAATGTGTTTCTTTGAATGCAAATTAGCCTGTATTGCTTTCATCATCAAATGGAAACATGCAGCTTTTTGCTCTTCCAAAAGATGGTTTGGTTAGGGTTTTTATTTGTCTGTTGAAACCACTTTTTTTTTAACCTGTAGTTATTGTATTGTGCACCAAAAAAAAAACACAAAAAAAATCTCACTGTCAACTTTGCCGCTATTACTGTAAATGTTATTTTTGGACAAAAATGTTTTCATTAAAACGGCAACCAACAGTTTCCTTAGAAAAAAAGGTGGTATAAATTTTGTTTGCTGCAAATACAGTATTCAACATTAAAGTGGATCAAAATAATTAATCAAAGTTGTCCTAAGACAAGAACGGGTATTGTTCAAAATTCATGTATAACTTATGAAAGGGTTTGATCCACTTCAAATGTTAACTACTGTATTTTTTTAACCAGTGCTAGTCGATCACTGACAGTGTGAATCACAACTTGCTAGGACCAGATCAGACAAACGAGTATAAACGATCCTAGCGTGTCACAAATCATTTCTTTTTCATAAATTCCATGCAATGTCGCTAACGGTCTATCACCTTCCAACTCGCCAGGCCTTAATTGGGACTGACTACACTCTGCATGAAATCCACCTCATTTCAGCATGACATTTTAGACTTTTTAATTAAATATCCTTCAGGTGACCTTTTTAACAGCATTGACACCTGAAAGAGTTACAACAAACCACAGATCTAAAACCTTCATACCATGAGGCAGAGCGCAAAATAAGCCAGCCGGCCGAGAGAAGTGCTGATCTTTGATGCGACTCTTTCATTAACATCAATGCGCTGAGATTAACGCACATCAGAGGAACTCAGGCACTTCGGCTCTCTGGCTACTCCTCGGCTCGCCGTGTGGCTCGTCTCCTGGGCCTCTCTCATTATAAACTGTCCTTTTTTTTGTTTTCCCAGGGATCGGTCTGCACAGACTGTACTTCAGTGGATTAGCAACTGAGCAGTTTCATCTGTGGCCGATTCATCACACGTCGCTACTTCTGCTGGTTGTTTGTCTACTGTTTGCTAGCTGTCATCTCACTGACGTCTTTCATAGGCTTTACTTTGATGCCAGACTAACTGATGTGAAAAGTAAAAAGTGACTATATTACAACCCCAATGTCACTACCACTGTAAAACACAACTTAAATAATTAATTAAATGATAAATGAATGAATTAAAATGATCACAAACCGTTTGAGAAGCTTCTAGAACCTTCTGGTTTCTGCTTTTAGGAACAAGTTAACAATGTCACTGGTGCAGTTAGTCATTTCTGAAGTACTTCTGATACAGTGGTGTGAATAAGTTATTACCCCCATGCTAAAGTTGCCTAAAAAGAGTAATAAAAAATCTTCTTTTGGAAATTGATCTTAATGCCTTAATTAGAAAAATGAGGAAAAATCCAACCTTTAAGGACACCAATTTTCTTTGTGTATGAATAATGTATCATAAATAAATAAATGTTCTTCCTTAAAATAAAGGGTGCATAAGTCAGGCCCCCCCCCCCCCCCCCTATGTTAAATTCCCATAGAGTCAGGCAGATTTTTATTTTTAAAGGCCAGTTATTTCATGGATCCAGGATAATATGCATCCTGATAAAGTTCCCTTGGCCTTTGGAATTAAAATAGACCCACATCATCACATTCCCTTCACCATACCTAGAGATTCGCATGGGGTACTTTCCATAAGATCATCTTTCAATGCAAATCAAACCAGCTATTAGGCTAACTGAAATAACACCATGCCAATCTCTAGGTATGGTGAAGGGAATGTGATGATGTGGGATATTTTAATTCCAAAGGCCAAGGGAACTTTATCAGGATGCATATTATCCTGGATCCATGAAATAACTGGCCTTTAAAAATAAAAATCTGCCTGACTCTATGGGAATTTAACATAGGGGGGGCCTGACTTATGCACCCTGTATTTTAAGGAAGAACATTTATTTATTTATGATACATTATTCATACACAAAGAAAATTGGTGTCCTTAAAGGTTGGATTTTTCCTCATTTTTCTAATTAAGGCATTAAGATCAATTTCCAAAAGATGATTTTTTATTCCTCTTTTTAGGCAACTTTAGCATGGGGGTAATAACTTATTCACACCACTGTACTTAAGTGACTGGGAAAGAGTAATGAGAGTTTTCATCTCTCCTGACATCAAAATCTGAATACAGAATTTCTAAAATAAATAAATAAAAACGCTGACCCCCGGTTTCAGAGACAAGACTTAAGCCTAGTCCAGAACTAAAATGCATGTTTGAGCTGTTTTAACAGAAAGCAACTTGCACTGGCATATCTTAAAATATGCCAGTGCCATTGTTTTGTCTCTAAGGCATGTTTATAAAAGATACTTAAATATCCTAATTGAACTAAGGTCTTATCTAAGCCCTGTTTGTGAAACCAGGCCTTAAACTGCCAGGACATGTTTCAAAATTAACAATTGAGCTGGTTCTTTTGGGTTGGACAATTAATAACAGCAAATATATTCAAACTCATATAAACATTCCCGGTATTAAAGCCATTTGAGCTTGTCAGGGTTTGCTAAAAAAAATGAAGTACCATGACCATGCATTGGGAGAACAATACTGTAACAGTGCACTAAGTAAGTGACCCTAAATATTGACATATAGGACAGACATTATGTCAAGACAAGACCCCTACGATCCAGATCTAGACCACCTAACATCCAGCATGCCAGTCCAACAACCAGATCTCAGACCAAGACCACATGATCAAGAACTCTGACTAAAGGTGGCCATTCGGAAGACTTTCAAACATTAGTTCTTGTATTTTAGAGTAATGCACAACAAGAAAAGAATGCCATGTTAAATACTTGATGACTTGCTGGGATTTACATTTGTAATTCCTGACAATGGTAAATTTATGGAAGCCAGATCTCATATAGATAAAATTACATCATTTTTAAAAATGAGATATAACATTTAAGAAACTTAGAGTTTGTTTGTTTTTCAGAGGAGAACAGGCTTTGATCAAACCCATATACAGGCAGGTTTAAGAATGCCCGCTTACCCACAGCCTTGAGCGAAGCATACTTGTTGAGCTCCTTTCCAGGTTGAGATGGCTCATAGGGGTGGGCTACAGGTACCTGTCCAAGCGAAGGGTATTGTGTCATGGCTTGCATCAGAGATGAACCAGACCCCACACTGTTCATTTGGGCACACTCTAAAGCAAAGAGACACAAAATAGAGACGAATAACCGATATGAAAGGTAAATAATTTTTCCATGAGTGTTTTCTTTCTAAAATAAAAGCGATACCTCAAGTGGTGTCATGCATCTATCCATCTATTTAATTGTATTTATTTATTTATTTATTTTTTGAAGGTGAATCAGTGTCAGTCCTGGCTCATCTGGTGCTCTTACTGACATAAAACATGAAGACAGACAGGACTAAAAAAAAATTCATATCTTTGTAGTTTTTCATATTAGAGCAGGAATTGTTAGTTCAGTGACAGAAATAGAAACGAATAAAAGATATGAGTGGTAAATCACACTCTGTTATCAGTAATAGTAGACTGTTGGAAGTTTTTGGCTTACTTATAATACATTTAAATAATGTATGTATGCATGTACTATATGTATTTAAAATGTAGCTTATGCATATACTGTATGTATACACACACTTTAATGACACACTGACCAATTTAGACCAACAATGTGAGTGGGTGATTTCTTTTCAGTTACCAACAATAACCATACAGCTTAAAGCCATTTTTTTTAGAAGTAGCATTAAAAATCCACTTGAGGGGGCACAAGCATCTGAATGACTATGACTCTTTAAGCATTACTTATTGTTTGTGTGAGAGCATTACACACATTATTCGGGAAGGCTAAATGCTGTATGAGAATCTGTTGTTCATCTACACATTATCACCCTCAGAAGTCTTTCTCAGTGCCTTTTCTTTTGTTTAAGCTCATAGCAGTTGGGATACCTCCCATCAGAGACCGCTAAATTAACATTTAACAATATCTTAAGCTGCTTGAGGCCTGTTGCATCGACCCATCAACACAACTTGTGAGTTTTCTCTTTGGTGATTCACTCTATACCCCCAGGAAGCAGATCATTAGTCATGGATTTCTGGAGCTCCAGCCAGGCTCTCCTGGGCTACTAATCGAATCCGTTTGAACTGCTAATGTCAAAACATGTTAATGCCAAAAGCACTGGCAAGCGATGGTCACAATGGAAAATTAATTGTTTGTTTCACAAGTTTTCACACTTGATTACAGCAAAGACTTTCCTATTGAGGGTCGCAGATGGTGTAAATCATAAACGCTTTTCTGGAGATTGCATTAGTAGACATCTGGCCAGCTGAATGGGGGCGCAGGAGCATGGCAAATTGACTGGCCCTTTGCCGGCTGGCATGAGGGGCCAACCAGATGTTGTGGGTATTATCTCTAACCACTCTGATGAGTCGAATGAGACAGAGAAAGTACAGCCAAATGTTGGAAAGGAATTAGGAAAAAATACTGTATACTAGCTGTAACGGGCACCATCCGTCCACTTCTTTCATTGTGAATGAGTCTGTTTGTGTCCGTGATGGTAACTGCTGCCTGATCTTTTCCCGTTCTTCAGATGCGTTTTAGTTGTTGAACTCTCCTTAATCTGTTGTTGTCTTGGAAACCTCTTTTAAGTCTATTTCTTCTAGCTGGATGGCTGTTCGCTACAAGATTGTACCATCTGTATCACAGGACTTACCGTAGGGCTCTTCCCTTAGCACACACTTCAGGCACTAAAGCCAAATATCAATATATCAAATATCAATGTTGAAAACAGTGCTGCCTTATATTTTTGTACAAACAAAATATATCAGCATTGCTTGAGGAAAAGAAAGTGCAGAAATTGAAATCTTTTGATCAATTTAATGTGTTTTTGAGGAATAAATCTTTATCGTTAATCTTTATTAAATCTTAATCCTACTGAGCTTTTGAACGGTAGTGTATTTGGCAGAGACTTTCATCCAAAGCAACTCACACAGCATTCAAGATATACGTTTTATTAGTTGATGACCTTGGCATTGCTAACATGCTCCACTGTTTGAGCTGCCAGGAAAGCAACAGTAAAACGAAGCGGAAATGAAGAGCATGTTTGTGTTGATAACGACACTACTATTTCTCATTTCAGACACTTCTGACAATCATCTGGTTTTAGTAATATACATGAAATTAAATATAGGATTCAACAAAAAAAATCATTTATACAGTTTTTTATTACATTTACACTTTTAGGTAGACTGGTTCACACGACGCCGTTCTCTTACGAGAGTATCTCTCGTACTGCGTAATAGCTTTACGCTAGGGGAAAAACTCTTTTCCGCGAGATATTGAAGCCAAAAATTATCCTTTAATTTTTTATTAATGCAAAACGCTTTGCAGCAGCAAGCAAACATAGGCGAAACAGCTCGCGCGCCTATTGGTTGCTCTGCAGCAAATGCAGCAGCCTATCGAGAGAGACTCTGCGTGACGTAATGACCAATGGGGGCAATTCGCGCCCATATCGTCACGTCCCGCCAGAAGGGGCGTGGTCTCGCCCTATAAATATGCTCGTTAGGCTGATATAGTGATGTATGTCTCGAGACCGGTCTTGGTCTCGAGACCGGTCTCGAGACCACTTTTACGTGGTCTCGGTCTTGTCACGGCCTTGACGGTATTTGGTCTCGGTCTTGTCTTGGTCTCGGACCTCTCGGTCTTGTCTAGGTGTCGCTGTCTCAGACTGACATAGTGGTCAGGGGATTGAGCAATACAATACTACAATATCCACGACGATATCCACAACGGATTGAAGCGCGCGTCCGAGTGAAGACAGTGCGGTGCGCGCGAGCCACGCGAGAAAACACTGTATCCGCGCCACTGATCGCAGCGGCAACGAGCACTTTGATCACTTGATTTAAAAAAACACATATCATCAGGGTGCGATTTGTGAAAAAAACAGAGGGGGGGATGTTTTGAAAAAGTTTTATTCATAAAAATAAATCATGAACTTCATCACTGCATTTGCAGGAATTGTAAAATCTTTTTTCTTATTAACTCATGAAGTAGCCTAACGCAATATGTTTTACTCTAATAGCTTATCATGTACAGTTTTTGATATATTAATATTTAGTAAAAGACATATCAGTGACATGATGGGTTTTACCTTCATTCAGGAGATTTTGGGTAACTGCACAACTGACAGATGACTTTGAGCGCACCGCCAACGGTGTGTGTGTGTGTGTGTGTGTGTGTAACCATAGCGACAAAAACGACCAACTTTCGGATCCTGCACTTAAGCCTATAATTTCGTTTTTAAAAATATAATTATGTATTTAAAAGTTGCAGAATGGATTCATTTGGAGACTTCGAAATCCGCAGAGATAGGCAGGCAAATGCAAAACAACATTTGACAAGTTATTGCTTAGCTTCAACACTAATGTTTTTTTTCCCCTCCGGTCTCGACTTGGTCTCGGTCTTAGTCTCGACTTGGTCTTGGTCTCGACTTGGTCTGTCTTGGTCTTGGTCTTGGTCTTGTCTTGGTCTCGATACCATCTGGTCTTGGTAGTGTCTTGGTCTCGGTTTAGGCGGTCTCGACTACAAGTCTAGGCTGATACAAGCTGATTTTTACCTCTTCAGCGAAGCACACGCATCGCTGGATCCGGAGTGAGAAGCCGCGCCGTCGAAGCAAGCCTTTCAGCGGGACGAGCTCTGGAGTCGCTGGCCTCGCCGCCTTCAACTGCCGTACCTGCTGCGCTTTCCGGCGTTATATATCCTTTCAAATACTCTGTGTGTATTTCTCTGTTGAGAAGTGTTTGTTCGCTTACTTGACGCGACTTACACTTCTCTCACAAAAAGAGCAGCGTCTTTTTAAAGATGCCTTCCTGTGGCTCGTGCCGCGCCCCGCTCAGCGATGGAGATCGACACGTCATCTGTGTTTCCTGTCTGGGTGAGGATCACGCGGCTATCGCGCTCGCTGACGGCGGATGCCCTCATTGCGAGCTTTTGCCCATGGTGACTCTGAGGACGCGCCTGGCATCATTCTCCGAGCCTTCACCACAGCCCGCCGTGACGCCGCGCCGTAAAAAGCGCCGCGCCCAGCGCGCTCCCGAGCTATCTCCAGCCCGCCAAAGCTCGCCGGTTCGCCCGCCTGCTTCGCCGGCTTCGCTCGAGTCGCTCACTGACGGACAACGGCCGCCGCCTGCCGCCGCGTCCATCCACGAGCCTGACGAACCCTCCGAGGCGTGTTCTCTTCTGGCGTCCGATAGTGAGGATTGGGCGAGCTCTGTGGATCTCCCCTCCGCTAGCGTTTCCCGCCAGACCACTGGTAAGAGAGCCGGCATTGAGACTGAGCTGATGCGTCTGCTCTCTCAGGCCGTTGAAAGCATCGGCCTCGATTGGGAGGCGCCCGCGCAACCGCCGCGCAACAGGCGAGCTCTGTGGACCTCAGCCTTCTGTCCGCGAGTCGTCAAGGAAACGGGCCAGCATTCTACCCCGCCCCCCATGGGCGTGCGTCACCGGCAAATGAGAAAAGAGTGTGTTTTAGTCCCCGCCGAGGCCGGATTAATCTCCATTTCTCAAACATTTCTCAGCTCCTAGTTTGAGCGGCTGAAAATGTCATTATTGCAGCAATGAGCCTGTTGTATAACACGCACACCTGCATACAAACGCCGACACACACAAAACTGTGATGACGGTCTCTTATCTGCTTGCGCTAGTGTAGTTCTCCCTGTGGCCCAGTGGCGGAACCTGAAGCTTTCACGCGGGAGACCCGTGTTCGATCCCGGCTCTCGCAGCAGATAAAAAAAAAAAAAAAAAAATTTAGTCTCGCCGTGGCCAGACTTCCACCGAAACTTTTCGCTCGTTCAGTTCCAGATAATGCGACTGTTCCAGTGTATTTTGCAGTAAACAAGCTGGTACCACGGCCCGCTTGCCTGCACATAAAGGCCGTTTCCATGGCGACCCAGAAAAATCATTGTATTTCTGGTTTTCCGGCCACAGCCGATGGTGTTATAAGTGTAATAAAATGCTCACAGCCCAGTGTTCATTTCTACACACAAACACAGCCCGCCACGGTACAGGGCTCGCACAATTGTGCATTAAATGTAGTGAATGTGCCCACAACCCAGTGCCCACATACACTACCACGGTTTCTGTAAAACGAAACCAACACAAGTCTTCCTAGCCTCCTAGGAAA